AGTGGTGCCCAGCAGGTGTGCTGCCCTCGCCGCACTGGCTTCTTAGGGCTGCTAGGACACATTGCCACAAACTGGGTGACTTAAAACCACAGAGATTGATTCTCTCACAGTTCTGGAGTCCAGGTGTCCAAACTCAAAGTATCAGCAGGGCCATGCTCGCTCTGAAGGTCCTGGGAAGAATCCTTTGCCTCTTCCGGCTGCTGGTGGTTGCCGGCAATCCTCAGCATCCCTTGGCTCATGGCAGCATAAGTCCAATCTCTGCCTCCATTGTCACTTGGCCTTCATCCCGTGTGTGTCTCTGTGTACAAATTTCCCTCCTTGTATCAGGACTCCAGGCATTGTATTTAGGGACCGATGTAATCCTGTTCCATTTCATATTATCTTGATTGCATCTGATAAGACCCTATTCCCAAACTAACACACATTGGCAGGTACAGGGGTTAGGACTTGAACATATCTCTTGAGGGACAATATTCAACCCCCAGTACTGGGGTTCATGATCAGGATTATGGGACCACCTTATGTTTCCCAGTGTCCATCTCCAGTCCTCCCATCATGAGCTGCTGGACGCTGGTCTCCCCAGGGGCATGCCGGAGGCTCTGGAGCTTCCAGCATGTGAATCCGTCCTCACTGTGCCCATGCCACCCTTGCCCCCAACACCCGACAGAAATGGAAACATCTCAACACAGTCTTCTGCAAACATCTCAGCAGCTGTATTCATAATTGCAAAAATGAAAGCAAATATTCAAAAATTAAAGCAAACATTGCAAAAACAAAAAATAGTAGGTAAAGGAACGGTGATATACTCATGTGGGATCCTGCTCAGTGAGAACAGGGACTACAATGCTGACACATGAAACCACATAGATGAATCCCAAAAAGTACCATGCTAAGTGAAAATAAAATGAGACACAAGAATACAGACCATAGAATGACAAATATATAATGTTTAAAGACACGGAAAAGTAATGTCTAGTGATAAGAATCAGAAAATGTTAGTTCTCATGATTGGGGATTGACTGGGCACGGGAGCCAGGATCTTTCTGCTGTGATGGGAAATTTCCATATCCTTGATTGGGGTCCTGATTGGGGAACACAGGTGTACAGGTTTGGCAAAACTCATGGAATCACATGCTTAAGATTTGTGTATTTGTAGCAGGTGAATTTTGCCATAATTAAAAAAACAAATGATACTTTTCATGTTCAAGAAAAAGATAAACAAACAACTTTCAATTAAAAGAGTTAATAAATGGGTGACAACAAACAAATAAATGAAGAACTGCCAAAAAATTTGAGGAGATGTGCCCATCCTTCATCTACTCAACTGCACCTTTCTTCTCCCTCAGACTCTGGGCCATTTACTATCACCTCCCTAGCAAATATCAAGACCATTCAGGAATACTATTTCCTGCTAACTTATGGCCAAAGGGGGCCAGGCTTGCAGATTACGTGACTCAATGTTAGATGAGAGCAGAGACTTAGAATCAGGTGGGGTTTAAACCCCAGCCCTGCCCTGAGTAGCTGAGTGGCCTTGAGACACCCCTGGTGAGGTTTCCATACATGTAAACCTTGTGGAATGATCAGGTCAGGAGAGTGAGTATACCTATCACTGAAACTGCATCAGATCAATCGGGTTCAATTTTTATGTAACAAAGTTGTGATTTGTTTTGCAGTTGCCCCGAACCCCCAATTTGAAGATCACATAACCTGAGTTTGCCCTGAGCATGCGACCACAGGCAGAACCTAAGTGCTTGGGCCCAGGAGTGGGGACTGAATTCAGAAGCGCACAACACATGGAAGGATCTAGGTTCCAATCAGATTGGGCCCTGGAGTCACCTCCATGTCAGGATCCAGTCACCCCTCATTACCCTGTCACTATAAAACCTGTCCTAACCCCTGCTCAGGGATACAGATTTGTGCCTGACTCCTGTCTCCTTGTTCGGCTGCTGGAAATAAACTTTTCTTGCTGCAAAAACCTGGTGCTTCCCTGTTTGTCTTTACATTGTGCATGGGGAGAAGGACCCAGATCTGTTTGTTAACATCAACTCACCTATTATCACTTCTTTTTAGTAAGAATATTTATAATCCTCTCTTCTACCTATCTTGAAATATACATTATTCTCTCATTTGGGAGAGTGTGCATCAAACTAAAGGACATTATGTTATGTGAAATAAGCCAAGCACAGAGAGAGAGAGAATACATTATGACCACACTTACATGTTGAATCTATAACACCCTATCTCACAGAAGTAGAAAGTGGAATAGTGGGTATGAGGAGCTGGGAGGCAGGGCCGAGCAGGACAGAGAAAGGGAAGACAGAGGTCAGTGGGCAAAAGGTTTCAGTTTCACAGGAGGAAGAAGCTCTGGGGTTCTGCTGGGCAGCGTGGGGCTGTGGAGGGCTTGGACTCTGCAGGAATGAGCCTCTGATGTCTCCTTTGCCAGGAGGGGCGGGATCCTCCACCAGGGCCCAGTCTCCACAGTTTCTCACTTGTGGATCTTGATCTCCGAGTACTCTTTGCCTGTGGCCTCGTGTCCTGCAGTGTCCTGAGGCTTCCTCTTCTGGAAGCTGAGGGTTGCATACTGCACCTCTTGTTCCTGCCCTGAAAAGGTGGTGGCCATGACTCCAAGAACCTGGTCTTGGTGTCTGTCATCTGCCTGCGGTTCAATCAGGGACACCTGAGTGAAGAGAGAAAGGAGGGAGTGAGAG